CTTTGTCTATCTGGTGGGCAAAATATAGTATGCCATTTGTTATTTTAATTTACATTTCATCAGTATGACTGAAATTGAGCACGCTTCAATTTCAATCAAATGGTTCAAAAACCAGTTGAATTTCCTTTCCAAAAATAGTTTATACGCTCTGCCCATTTTCGACGGTTGTCAGTATTTTTCTTATTGATTTGAAAGAGCTTTTTATATATTGGGAAATGGTGCCTATTCTTTAGAAACAATAGAAAAGCTGGAGGTGACAATATAGAGATGCCTTATTTTAAACCCATGTTCCTCAAACTGGTTTACATACATCCCAGGAAATACTTGTCACCGTGGCAGGAAACAGATCGTGTTTAATAGCATCAATTCCGGAGCCAGGCTACCTGGGTTCACATCCCGGCTCTGCCTCTTGCTAGCTGAATGACTTTGCACAAATCTTTTAAAGCTCTTTGACTCAATTAGCTATCTATAAAACTAGGATAATGATAATCTCTTCCTCATAAGGTGGAGTGAAAGAGCCTATGCCAAGGAAAGATAGTTTAGAAGACCAAAACAAATAATAATACTTGTCCTATTATTTGGCTTTTTAATAACAATCCTAAGGACCCAAACAAGGCTAAAGAAAAGTCGCATGGGGTGCCTGGCTGGCTCAGTTGGTAGAACATGTGACTCTTGATTTGGGGGTTGTGAGTTCAAGCTCCCGTTGGGGGTAGAGATTACTTAAAAATAAAGTCTTTAAAAAATAAAGAAAAGTCATGCAAATTATGAACCAGAATCCAGCTGGCACAGATAAAACTTCTTGTTTGTTGTTGTTGTTGTTGCTTCAGCTGTTGTTTATTGACACACTGGTAGGCTCTATAGCAACAGGCCTGGAGGCGGCTGCAATAGTGGGGAAAATGGAAGGTGGAGGGTGGAGTGTAGGAACAGAGGCTCACGGTGCACAACAAGATAGGAGTGGGGGAGGCTGAGGAGGGTGGAGAAGCAAATAAGGGTCTGGACCAGTCTCCTTAAACTGGAACCGCTGCCCCGTGCTGCTACTCTTGCTGTCTGCCTCTCAACCCAGCACAGACAACTTCTTTAAAAACAAAACAAAACAAAACATTTTAACGTTTTATTTATTTTTTTGAGAGAGAGAGAGAGACAGAGCATGGGTGGGGGAGGGGCAGAGAGCTAGGGAGACAACAGAATCAGAAACAGGCTCCAGGCTCTGAGCTGTCCGCACAGAGCCTGATGAGGGGCTCGAACTTGTGAGCTGCGAGATCATGACCTGAGCCGAAGCTGGACGCTTGACTGACTGAGCCACCCGGGCACCCCTACAACTTCTTAACAGACTGTATCAGTTAGTTAATTGCTGTGTATCAAAGTACCCCCAAGGTTTGTGTTTTAAAACAACACCCACTAGGGGCAGCTGGGTGGCTCAGTCGGTCAAGCGTCCAACTTCGGCTCCAGTGGTGACCTTGCAGTTGGTGAGTTCGAGCCCCACGTGCTGTGCTGACAGCTCAGAGCCTGGAGCCTGCTTCGGATTCTGTGTCTCCCTCTCTCTCTGTTCCTCCCCCGCTCATACTCTGTCTCTCCCTCTCTCAAAAATAAATAAAGATTAAAAAAAAAAAAAAAGCCCACCCACTTAATTAGCTCACAGTTCTGTGGGTCGGCAGTATGGGTTGGTCTCCTGCATGCAATTCTTTTAATATCAGCAAGGCTCATTCATGTGTTTGTAATCAGATGTTGGTCAGACAGCATTACTTCTGGAGGTTGGCTGTGTGTTTCTAGAGTGACAAGAGGTGCCTGGGTCCCATGTCTTGTCAGCTGGAAGCCTAGCTTGAGCTTGTTTGTTGCCAGGGCTCCAAGATTGGAGAAAAGTATACAAGGCTTCCTGAGGCCTACGCTCACAGCTGACACAAGATTGCTTCCACCTTGTTCTATTGACCAAAGCAAGTCATAAGGCTGATCCAGAGTCAAGGGGTGTGAAAATAAAATTCAAGGTTTGGGATAGAGACTGCAGGTGAGAGACAGCCAGCGACTGGGGGATATGCAGAGCCACAAACATCCCCCAAGAGCAAGAGTCGATATGAACATCTGCCTCGGCCGGAGGAAACCAAAACCACTTCTGGTCTGTGCTGGTTAAGGAAAGCATTTTCTCCCCTTACCTCCCTGCACCTGGCTTTGGTGGGAAGGGTGGACACTGAGGGAGCCTAGAAAGGAATGCATGAAGAAGCCAGCCACACCGTGTCTGTTTCCCACCACAGGTTTCCACGTCAAGCCAGTCTTAGCTGGCCCAGAGAAGAAAGTTTAAAATGAAGTTTGGAGGACTTTTTATACCAGAGGCTGAGCAGATATGGTCTATGGCCTTCCTGAGTATTGTTCCAGGGGGCAGGGGGGTGGAAGAACTAGCCTAGTAAGGCAGATTCCAAAGGGCAGTAGGAGAAGAGGGTAAAGCTATTACCTGATTACAATCTGCAAGTCCACAGACTCAGTGTATTGTTCAAAAGTAAAAAGTTACAGATTGTAGTAAGTCATATGAGGGAAATAAACAGCATGAAGGGAGGGTTAGAGATATAGAGAGTGGGAAGATATTTAGTTACTTGACAGAGTGACCAGGAAAGGGCTTCCTAAGGTGACTTCAAACAGGAGAATGAACGGGTCTTAGCCTTCCAGGCAGAGGAAGTGGCTAGTGTATAAAATTCCAAGGCAGGAAAGACTTTGGCATGTTCTAGGGCGAGTTTCTTTCCTTCTTTTTTTTTTTAAAAAAACCACAATATATGGGCAAAACAAACAAACACATTTTATCTGCAATCCAGAGCACAGTCACATCTAAAACAAAAGTATCGTGAAACTCTCCTTTTCCCTAAAGTGCTCAAATGGATTCTGATATTTAATCAGGTTCATTGAGATGTCATTTACATACAGTGAAATTCACTCCGTTTAGATTCTATGTGTTTTGATAAGTGTATACAATCGCTTACATCACCACAGTCAAGTTATAGAACGTTTCCATCTCCCTCAAAATTCCCTACTGATGCTTTGTGATCAACCCCTCCCCCCAACGTGGAGCTACACTGATCTGATTTCTGCCAATACAGATTTTGTTAAATTGTTTTTCTTGACGTGTGTCTAGATGTTTATTGATTTTAACGATCTTTTCTAAAAACCTGCTTTGGGTTTCATTACTTTTTGTTCTCAATTTTTATTGATTTCTGCTGTTTCTCATTTCCTTCCTTGTTCGCTTTGGATTTAATTTGCTCTTTTTTTTTTTTTTTCCTGGATTTTTAAGGTGGAGGATTAGAGTACTGATTTGAAATTTTCCGTGTTTTCTAGTTTGATGTTTAAATTTCCATGTAAGCACTGCTTTGGTGGTATCCGCAAATTTTGATAATATTGTGTTTTTATTTCTATTCAATTCAAAATATTTTCTGGTTTCCCTTGTGACTTCCTCTTTGACCCATGGGTTATTTAGAAGTACACTTTAATTTACAAATATTTGGGAGATTTTGCAAATATCGTTCTGTTATTGGTTTCTAATTTAGTTCAGTTGCGGTGAGAGAACATACTTTTTATAATTTCAATTAGATTAAATTTGGTGAGGCTTGTTTTATGGCCCAGAATGTGATCCATCTTGGTAAAGGCTCCATGCATCCTTGGAAAGAACGTTGTTTTTCTGTCGTTGGGTGGAATGTTCCATAAACGTCAATTAGGTCAAATTTGTTGATGGTGGGTTCAGGTCTTTACACCTTTGCTAATTTTCTGTCTGGTTGTCTTATCAATTACGGAGACAGGAATGTTGAAGTCTCCAACTGTAACTGTGGATTTATCTATTTTGTTTTTCACTTCTAGAAGTTTTGCTATATGTTGTTTGAGGCTGTGGTCAATGCATGAAATTTTAGGACTGTTATGAATTGATTCCTTTATTGTTAGGTCCCTCTTTATCCCTGGTAATATTCCTTACTGTGAAGTCTAGTTTGTCTGGTATTAATATAGCCCCTCTTCTTTTAGTGTTTGTATGTATATCCTTTTGCATACTTTTATTTTTAACTCAGATATGGATTTATATTTGATGTGTTTCTGGTAGAGGGCATATAATTTGGATCTTGCTTTTATTTGTGCAACATAGTTCAAAAGGAAAATAGGTAACCAATAGAGTGAGAGAAAATATTCATAATACATACAGGCAACAGAAGACCAATATGAAAATAGATGAAGAATTTCTACAAATCAGTTGGAAAAAGACAGAAATACACAATACAAAACTGAGCAAACAACTTGGAGAGACATTTCACGACAGCTGATATTCAATGGCCAATAAACTTATGAAAAAGTACTCAGCTTCATTAGCTGTCAGAGAAATTCTAATTAAAGCCACAACATGATGCCACGACATATCCCCAGAAGGACTCAAATGAAAAAGATTAATGACAGCAAGTGTTGGCAAGGATGTGGAGCAACTGGAACACTCACACACTATTGATGTAAATGTAAAATCGGTACAACTACTTTGGAAAATTGTCAGGCAGTATCCAAAAATACCGCCCACAAGAGTGTGTATACAATGTCTACCGAAAACATTTACTAAAATGTTCATAGTAGGGGCGCCTGGGTGGCGCAGTCGGTTAAGCGTCCGACTTCAGCCAGGTCACGATCTCGCGGTCCGTGAGTCCGAGCCCCGCGTCGGGCTCTGGGCTGATGGCTCAGAGCCTGGAGCCTGTTTCCGATTCTGTGTCTCCCTCTCTCTCTGCCCCTCCCCCGTTCATGCTCTGTCTCTCTCTGTCCCAAAAAAATAAATAAACGTTAAAAAAAATTAAAGAAAAAATAAAAAATAAAATGTTCATAGTAGCACTCCTCATAGTAGCTCCATATTCGAAGCTAGACAGATGCCATTAACAGTAGAATGGATAAATTGTGTTACATTGTCACAAAGGGACAGGGGGGCGAACTATAGGGCCACGCAACAACGCAGATGAATCTCATTGACGTAATGTTGAATGAGAGAAATCAAACACAAAAGGTGACATACTGTATGACTCCATTTATATAAAATACAAAATGGTCAACATGAATCTACATGTTAGAAATGGAAAAGGGTTACCCTTGTGGGTAGCAATTGGAAGGGGGTAGATGAAGCCATCCCATGAGGGAATATTCTGGAATCTTCCATTTCTTTCTCTTGAAGGTAGTTACAAGGCTGTGTTCATTTTTGTGAAAAATATCAAGTTGTATGTTTATGATATGTACCCTTTGGGTACGCAAGTTACATGCTTCCATAAAAAGTTTTCAATGAAGACACTGAAAAACAAAAAGTCGAATAATCTTATGAGACTTTTTACAAAAAACAGGCCACTGATCCCTGCTTTCATCTCCTTTCCTGTTTAGAGTTCCTGTCTTTATTTATGTTTATTTTGGTATTAATTTCATAATACTATCATATTTTATCAAAGTCATTCATGCACACAGTTTAAATACTTCAACAGGGCTTGTTATCGAAAACGACACCCACCCCCTACTGGGCCTTATCTGCCCATTTCTCATCCCCGGGTCAGTCCAACATAGTTCATTTTGGTTAAATGGATATTCACTGTTAACCTATTACCACTGCACAAACATTACTTGCTGCGTAACCTCCCATTCCCCCTTGACCTAATAATTGCCTTTTTGTGAATTATTTCTACCTTCTTACCATGAATTCAATGTTCAAATATCCCCCAGTGCATATTTCTTCTCAATTTCTTCAAATACGTTAAGTAGTCTATCCTTCTTCTGAATGAAATTCCCTTTTTTAAAAAAATTTTAAACATTTACGTATTTATTTTTTGAGACACAGAGACAGAGCACAAGTGGGGGAGGGGCAGAGAGAGAGGGAGACAGAATCAGAAACAGGCTCCAGGCTCTGAGCTGTCAGCACAGAGCCCAACATGGGGCTCGAACTCACAAACCGTGAGATCATGACCTGAGTCGAGCCAAAGTTGGACGCTTAACCGACTGAGCCACCCAGGCACCCCAATCCTCCCATTTTAGAATGACACCCTCGCCATCTGCTGTCCTCCAGTCTAGAAACTCTTTAATTGGTACCTTCTGGGATATAAATGCTCAGACTTCTGCTAGTTTGGGAGGAGAAGTCATATACCTGCTGTCAGAGGAGGGGTATTTGGGGTTCAGCTGCTTCTTAAGTAGACTTCCAGCTAAACGTTCTGTTTTCAGCCCCATACTCACCTCCAGAGGTGATTTGTGTCACTAATTCCTTTTGCGGCTTCTTTGATGTAAATGTGGTTGCTGCTCGGTTTTCCCCAGCTTTCTCTAATCTACTAAATTAGTTACCGTTTGCCTTGCAGCTTTCCAATTTCCAACATTTTGTTGCTACTGTCTCCTTTTCTATTCTCCTCACTGTGTGATTTCGGTCATTAAAAAGAATGCCTTACCAGAATTCCTTCTGTGTCCTTTTATAACCTGCTATTTTATCACAGACAATGTGACATTTTACTTCTAATCAACTGGGAAAACTCCACATTGGTAACTTCTCAGAAACAGATTGTCACAAAGTTATTTGAGTGACAGGGCATCTTGCCTGGCTGGTGAAGACAGTCTTCCCCTTCAACTTTCTGCCTTTATTGCTCTAGAAGCTTGAGAGCATTGATTGGCTTTTTGCTTTGTATCTACGAGAAAGAGAAAAGGAGGATGTGATGTCTGCTCACCACCACCCCGGGCCCTAGTACAAGTGTAAGTGCCAGTGGTTAATAGATCCAGGCTCATCAGCAGAAGGAGCTGTTTCCTGAGAGATGTCGGGGACTCCAGACACAAGTCCTGCTGCTGTGGGGCCTATTGTCCCAGTTTGTCACACGTTAATGTGGTAATCTGAGGACCGGCTGATGGCTTCTTCTGTAGGATATCAGTTCCGGTAACAGCAAAGCTTCCTTAAGCAGCTTTGAGAACTATGAGTGTTGAATCAGAATAGGAGAGGAGGAACACGGCAGATACTTCATGGAGGCTACAGCTGATATTTACAAACACATGTAAGGCCTCTTGTGGGCTCATCTAAAAAAAAAAAAAAACACAGGGAAGAGGGGCACCTGGGTGGCTCAGTCAGTTAAGCATCTAACTCTTGGTTTTGGCTCAGGTCATGATCTCACAGTTTGTGATTTCAAGCCCCTCCTTGGGCTCCGCCCTGAGAGCTCGGAGCCTGCTTGGGATTCTCTCTCCCTCTGTCTCTGCCCCTCCTGGCTTGCACTCTCTCTCTCTTTCTCAAAAATTAATAATAAAAATAAATAAACTTAAAAAAATTAAAACAAAACAAACAGGGAAGAGAACTTTCTGTAGGACTGGCTGATATAGGTTGAGACCTATGGTGGTCTGCTGTATCGGTGACCCCTAATGGATGCCTCGCAATATTCACAACCTTGTGTAGCCAATAGGCTACAGTGGATGGGACTATGAGCCAGTTCTGAGCCTAAGCCTAAAGAGACCCTGGTAGTTTTCATTTTTGCTCTCCTGGGGACTTTGAGTCTCCAGGTAAGAAGTCTGTGTACCCTGCTGGAGCGACTGTGTGGAAAGGCCACACAGAGAGGGAGGGGCCCTGAGATTTCACAACAAAGAGCCGAGGAAGCCAGCAACAATGAGAACCGAGGCTTCAGGTGTGTGACACCAGTTGAGCAATTGCAGTCATCCCCTGGCCACTTGAGCCTTGCCAGCTGAGGCTCAAGACCTGTGAGTGAAGAAGCCCTCGAGGGCATTCCAGCGCCAGCGGGCATCACATGAATCAGAAGCCAGCTACGACCTGCCAGAATTCGTTGTGAGAAACAATAAAGCGGCAACTGTTTTAAGACATCGAGTTTTGGTCGATAGGTCACCAGACTGAACCAGAAGAACTTCGGGTTCTTGATGTCTGAGGCACTGCCCCTATCCATCAAGAATGTCATGGCATTGAGACTGTGCTCAAAAAGAGCTAAAGAAACGGCAAAAAGAGTTAAAGAAAAAGCATATACTGGTCTGGAAGAAAAATGTGCATTTAGAGTTTTTTCAAGTTTCTTGATTTTTAGAGTGGGGGGGGGGGGCAGGGAGGGAGGAGCAGAGAGAGAAGGCGGGAGAGAATCCCAAGCAGGTTCTGCACTGTCAGCACATTGCCCGACGTGAGGCTTGAGATCATGACTTGAGCCGAAATCAAGAGTCGGGTGCTTAATTGACTGAGCCACCCAGGTGTCCTTGGAATTTTTATAAAATCTCTAAAAAAGATTTGAGCTTAGGCATTTTCTCCTTTACTCACTGTTGGTTTCAAAAACCTAAACTTAAAGACAAGAGTGGGAAATGCCCCCAAACACTACCTTCAGATTGGGTGGCTTTTTACGGATCCCAGTATGAGCTCCCTTTAACCCATGGCAAGGGAGCTGGGGCCTCCTCCACTTGTGATATTTTTTGGCAGTGGCTTAAATCTGATGCCTGTAGTTTATTTATTTACTTACTTACATTTTATTTTTTAAGTTTATTTCTTCTGAGAGAGAGAGAGAGAGAGAGAGAGAGAGAGAGAGCTTGCATATGTGATTGGGGGAAGGGCAGAGAGAGGCGGGCAGAGAGAGAATCCCAAGCAGGTTCACGGTGGGGGGGGGGGTGGGGGTCAGCGCAGAGCCAGATGCAGGGCTAGAACTCACAAACCATGAGATCATGACTTGAGACAAAGGCAGATGCTTAATTGACTGAGCCACCCAGGTGCCCTTATTTATTTTTATTTTAGAGGGAGAGAACTCAAGCAGGGAAGAAGGGCAGAGGAAGAGAGAGAGAATCTTAAGCAGTCTCTACATTCAGCGTGGAGCCAACTTGGGCCTCGATCCCATGACCCCAGGATCATGACCTGAGCCAAAATCAAGAGTCAGGTGCTCAACTGACTAAGCCACCCAGGCGCCCCGATCTGATGCCTTTAGTTTATTTTTTCCTTAATGTTTATTTATTTTTGAGAGAGAGACAGAGACAGAGCATGAGTGGGGGAGGGGCAGAGAGAGGGAGACACAGAATCCAAAGCAGTCTCCAGGCTCTGAGCTGTCAGCACAGAACCTGACTGGGGCTCGAACTCATGAGTAGTGAGACCATGACCTGAGCTGAAGTCAGACGCTCAACCAAGTGAGCCACCCAGGCACCCCTGATGCCTTTAAAGCCAGGTTGGGTGCCTGGGTGGCTCAGTCGGTTAAGCGTCTGACTTCAGCTCAGGTCATGATCTCCCAGTTCGTGGGTTTGAGCCCCACGTTGGGTTCTGTGCTGACAACTCAGAACCTGGAGCCTGCTTTGGATTCTGTGTCTCCCTCTCTCTCTGTCCCTCGCCTGCTTGGGCTCTGTCTCAAAAATAAATAAACATCAAAAAAATTTTTTTAATAAACAAATGAAGCCAACATAAGTTTTTTGGGTTTTTTTTTTCTCATTAAACTTTTGTTTTAATGGGTCTCAAAATTCAATTCTGTGACAGATTTTTGGTCAAGTTGTTTCCATTAAAAAGTACTGACTTTAAAAATGAATAACTTAAAATTGCCACACACACACACACACACACACACACACACACACACAAAAGGTCCACAAAACCTCCTTTCCTTCTGAAGGTTTTATGATTCATTGTTATCATTAACCAGTCTTTTACTTTAAACTTAAATGGCAAATTGATACAAACAGTTCTGAGACTGTTCTACCACCATAAAGCCAGGTTACATTTTAAAAATAAACTCCTGCAAGAAAGAAAAACATTTTAAAAATAAACTCCTGCAAGAAGGAAAATACTCATCTTTACAGAATCCTCCTCATGTGGTGCTGGTACATTCTCTCAAGAAGTACCTTAATATAAGGAAAGGAGGTGAGGTTAGTAACCATAGCAGACAGGGCTTGAATCCCACCTCTTTCATGGTTTAGCTGTGGGGCTTTGGAGAAGTTATTCAACCTCTTTCAGTCTGTGCTCCCTCATCATTGAAAAGTGAGAATGTTAATACCTATCTTGAAGGATTGCCTTGAGAATAAAAGAGGTAATGTATATGAAAGTACATAACATACTCCTGGGCATATGGTAAGGCTCAAAAATATCTTGGCTTCATTTTGCTGCATTCGTAAGTTATTGGAGCCAGAGTTATGACTCAAGGAGGTCGAAGAACAGTGAAAGGGCTAGACAGCTCAGTGGTAGTTGGTCAGGACCATCACTGCCCTCTCTTCTCTCCATTGCCATTGACTTAGATCCTAGAGATACTAAAATAGTAACCTATTACCCTATATTTTCTGTAATCCCCATCCCTATGCTCATCACAGAAAACAAGGGTTCTGGTTTTATCTCAAGAAAGAATGATAATACAACACCGATTATAAATGAGTCAAATTTTTCTTTGGGGCTTTAAAAGCCAACGACTCATGACATAAGAAAACCTCTTTAAAAGGATAATTGAAGACCTGATTTTTCTCAACATTGTCACGCATATGCACACATACTCACACACATGCATACACACACTGACACGTGTGCATGAACACAAAGGACTAGCCAAAAATTCCCTGGACTTCAGAGTAGAGAGCATTCTAGCTCTAGTTTTGCCATTGACTTAGATCCTTAGAAACTATTAATGTGTTTTTCCCTTTGCACTTAGCAAGGAAATGACCTCCTCCTTATTTGGTTATGGCATCAATCTGTTTGTGAGGAGATTAAGATTGTTTCAGGAGGAATACTAAGAAGAAAAGAGCTAATATGCATTAGTGAAATTCAAAATAGTTTTTTTCCAGCAAAACAATAGGCTTGAAAACTGGACTCTGTGAGAGAAAT